TTTTCTAAAACTAGGACGTGGGCAGGGCCTCTTACTCAGGACTACCCTTCCCCGCCCCGCAAACACACATAATCCAAAGTGCTCTTTTCCAAATCCCAATGTGGGGATAATTCCTGGGATTTTGATCCTACTACTGGGCTAACGAGTGCTAATGTTCACTGAAAGAGCACGTTAAGGATGACTTAACTCAAATAAACTAGGAGACAGTATTAAGTAATCAGGATGCAAATCAATAGCCGTGGACGAGTTCCTTAACTTCTGCGAGCCTCATTTTTTTAAACGTAAAATAAAACTATTAACATCCAAGTTATGAGGTTGTTTTGAGAAGTCCATGATAAACGGGATGAAGACGCTACCAGTACAATGCTTAGCACAAAACAGGTATTAGTGTGTTTTAGCTATGACCATTACTGCTATCACCGTTTTGATGAAGGCGTCAATCTCGGGCGGGTAGCGAGGGGCGGTGCCCGGTGTCAACTGGCCGGTCCTCAAGTCCCACCGCCTGGGGGGTTCCGGTCTGCGCGCCACGTCGCGTTGTAATGCCCGTCTCCTTCTGGGGTGAAAATGGCGATAACACTAACACACTGAGTGGGAAGCGGCCTAACCCGGTTAACGGGTGTGAGCGCCTGGAACCGACCCTGGCTCGCGATCCCACAAGGACAGGCCGTTTTAATGATGGGTGTTGACTTTCTACTGCCCCCCGATAGGGGAGTGTCGGCCTGTGTGACCGCCTCCCGGGGCCCCGAACTCAGCCGGGCCTGCGCCTCCTCCCCGGCCAACCTGGGACGAGCACCTGGTGCCCGCGCCGACCACGAAAGCGGACCCACGTCTTAGCACCCACGCCTTGGCGGGGACCAAGAGGACCGCCCCGCGCGCAGGCGCATCACGCGCGGCCCTGGCTCGAGACCGGCTCCCGTGTTTGGGGGTCGCGGCTCGGGATTGGCCCAGAGGCGGCGCGGGCTCTGATTGGCCGAGGGAATGACTAGGGTGACATCGCTTTCCGGGCTGTGTGCCTCCTGGGCCTCGAGTCTTGGGCGGCTGCTGGGAGGGCGCTGCCACCCCGGGCGCCCCTGGGCCTCTGCGAGTTCCTCCCGGGTGTCCAGAGAGCGTCGGCTGCGCGCGGTGGCCCCCAGGGCCCCGGGGGGGCGGGGCCGTACCCCGGGTACCCCGGCGGTGGCCTTAAAAGGAGAACCGGTCAGGGAGGAGACTGCGGGTTAGCTTGGGAATTGATGGTTATAGGTTCTGACTTGAGACTCCTGTGTGCTGTAAATATTGGGGTTAAACATGGAAGCTGCTCCAGTTAACACTGAGTTCGCAGTCTGGAAAGGTAAAGACACGAGTTGTAGGTACAAATTTTTTTTCCTGTCCAGGGGTTTTTTATTTTGTCTCTGTATGCTTCCATTTGAGCAGTCGGTTGTGGAATTAATTTTTTTTTTTCAAGAAACTTTATTGGGGAACAGTGCGTTTTTCCAGGACCCATCAGCTCCAAGTCAAGTAGTTGTTTCAATCTGGTTGTGGAGGGCAGAGATCCTTGGCCCAGGTGGGACTTGAACCGGCAACCCTGGTGTTATGAGCCTGTGTTCTAACCACCTGAGCTAACCGGCCACCCTGGAATTAATTTTTTAAAAATTCAAAGTTACTTGAAAACGCGTGATGAAGGAAACAGAGTAAGAGGAATTCCTGGAAGCTTACCTTTTTTACCTTGAGGAGTTTGTGGCAAAAGAGAAGGTATGGGACACCTGACCTACAAACATACCCAAAATTATCTTTTTCTATATATTTTAATATTCACTGGTGTGAGTAAAAGATTCCAAATGAGAATACTTTAGGATGAGGCCTAACACGAGTTTATTACAAGTAGAAACTTACTGCAAAATACTATAGGCAAAATGTGCATAGCATGGAATGTTGTAGGCCCCGTGATGTGCCTAATAATCATGTCCATTTTAAGCAGGAAAAAAAATCAAGGTGAACTGAAGAAAATGAGTCTTTCCTCAAAGGAGATAGAAGATGGGGAAGATGAGATGTCAAAAGATAAGGACAATGGCCGTAGAGATGAGGTAATTATATGTTCAGCATGGAGCAGGATAATTTACTGTCAACAATCAAGGTCCACAGTAAAGTAGTTAAACTGCACTGTTAAATCTCAAAAGTGGTATTGTGAACACTTTCCAATGAGTTTCACAAGCCCACTCTGAACCTAATGCCAAAATCTGACTAGGTCATTTTTAGCAAAGAAAATTACAGACCACTCTTCTCATGAGCACAAATGCAAAAATTCCAAACAAAATATTAGCAAATTGAAGATCAGTTATATAAAAAGAGTAATGCATCCGTGACTAAGTGTGGTTTATTTTGGGGAATGCAAAAGTGATTTTTGTTTGAGAAGTGACGTTGGTTGCCTGGAACTACTGGTTTGAAAGAAAATCTCTTGATTGTTAAAATTACTTCATTACATTCCTTTAGTTTGTGTGCCTGCCAAACATGTTCCCATATTTATTCTTTAGACAAATATTTAGGTCCCTTCTGCGTTCTGCATCTGACTGGGAGTGTTAGCTTTAAGTTGAGTCCTGGAAGAATTGAGGTGGATGAGTGGGTACGTAGCTAATGAATATCGGATGCTGCACATGTGTAGCCACTGGGCTGGGGCTTGAAAGATTATCTCGTGTCATCCTCACAGCAGCCATATTAGGTAGGCATCATGTTAGCTCCATTTTATAGACAGGAAAACAGAGTTAGCCATTAACTAACTTGTTCATGGTTTCACAACTAATAAGTGACAGAGCTGGAATTATACATGGTTCTGTAGAATCCAAAGCCCCTACTCTTTCCCTGGTCATTCCTCGGTCTTCCCCCAAGCAACTCATTTTGAGAGGCAGATAGCATGTATTTATTGTCCAGTTTGAGCAGCTAGTTGTATAATAGAAACTTTCAGTCGGTTCTAATAGAAACCCTGTTCAGTCGGTTCTAATCAATCAAAAGTAAGTTATCTGTACACACCTTCAATATTAATTTAAAACATGTTAACTATGTATTCATTTGTCCATCTATTGATGTGGGACTAAGGCTTTGTCTTTGCCTTTGGCTTCACTATTGGAGAAGCTTATCTTCCCTGTATAAAGTACACCCACGGTGCATCTTCCAAAATTTAAAGTTTGTGTCTTTAAAACAAAGCAAAACTTGGGGCCGGCCGAGTGGCGCGATGGTTAAGAACTGGCCTGGGACACCAGAGGGCCCCGGTTCGGATCCCACANTTAGATGTGCATTTCTTTTGTTTCCATTTTAGCAAATTTGAAAAAAATTAAGTACACAAAAAGAAAATAATTACTTCTAGTCCCAACACCTAAATTAAACACTGTTAACATTTTGGCAATTAGATTCCTATCATTTCCCCACATACATCACCTCCCCCCATTAATGAATAATAAATTGTTTTCAATCATTTGCTTTTCAAAACAACTGCCTAGAACAATCTGGTAGAAGGTTGATGGTTATAATGGATGGATGAAGCTGACACCGCCCAAACTGTCTGATCAATTTTAACATCACTAAAAGTGGACAACCAGACGTTAAGTGCCTCCTACAGAGATGCAACAGAAGTACATGGCACCGACCATGAAGCCTTCTTGCAAAAACACTGAACCTGAATCTAAAGAACCTTCAGATCTAACCACCAGTTTACAAGAACACTGGGGATGGAGGAATATGTTCAAGACACCCCAAAGCTGTCAGCCAAGTCCAGAATAAAGACAGATTCTAGAGGAGGAATGACTTGGTTTCTTCAACAAATAAATAGCATTTGAAAGGGGTTCTCTATTATAGATTTAAACAGATTTAAGACATTTCAACCAAATGTAATGTGTGGTAATTTTTTAATCCTAATTCAAACAAAACAACAGTAAAAAGAAATTTTTGAGACAGAAGATTGAACACAGACTAGATATTGGATGATATCAAGGCCAATAAGTAGAGGAACATAATGAAGTGTTTACAGGCAAGATGATAGGATGCTGAGATTCACATTAAAATACTCAAGCAAAAAAAAAAAAAAAGGAAGGGAGACAGGGAGAGGGAACAAAAGTGGGACAGACAGGGAGTAGTTGAAAAAAGAATGGCAAAAATACTGAAGTTTTGAAGCTGAGTGATGGGTAAAAGGGGATTCATTTTTTTTAATTCTACTTAAGGTATGTTTGAAAATATCCATAACAAAATGTTTTTAAAGCTTGCAATAAAGATTCACCTATGTGTCCCTCCATCAGTGTGACTGCTTCTTTAGGTTAAATACCTAGAAGTGGAATTATCTGAATGCAAGGAATGAGAATTTTAACCTTGACTCAAAATTGCCAAATTTCTTTCCAGGTGTTTGTAATGAGGGGGTTCAGGACACATGGCTCCTTGGGTATACTATTTTAGGCTGAAGGAATTTGAGAAACAGCAGGCGCAGGGTGGACTTCCTGACCTTCCCCTGAGGCAGGTCATAGAACCCTCACATGAGAGGTGCCCTCTATACCCAGGGGAAAGGAGCTTCCTTATCTGCAAGACACGAAGAGGAATCTGAGCAAACAGACCTGGCTGTTCCCCCACTTTACTACTCTTAGTTCATGCTCCCTTTTTCCTATCGCATTTCCACAACTCTCCACTCTTCATTAAGCCTAGCAGAAAAACACTTCTGTTAGATCACTTCATGGAGTCTTCATTTCCTTCTCCCTTGTCACATAAAACGTATGTTTTTCTCTTGTTAATCTTTCTTTAAAAAAAAAAATCTTTCTTTTGTTACAGGAGCCCCAGCCCAGAAATTAGAAGGGTAGAGGGAAAAGATATATGTCCTTCCCTACAGTATAACAAGTTGCCTTTTTACCAGTTTCCCCCCAAATCCCAAAACACTTGTTTGATCGTTTGTTAATAAAGATACAAAAATGGTATCTTATTTTTTTAAATTGTATTTCTCTGATGGTTGTATACAGAGCATTTCTTCCTATCTTTATATGCTACTTAAATTTCTTCTAAAAATTGCCATTCATATCCTTTGCCCATTTCTCTGTCTTTTTCTTACTGTAGTTTTCATATTCTAATACTAAATTTTTGTTACATGTTACAAATATTTCTTCCCAATTTGTTCCTTATATATTTGTTTAAAAGAAACTCTTGCATCCAGAAGTTTTAAATTGTAATGTGGTCCAACATGTCTTAATTTCATTTCTGGATTTTGCTTCATATGTCATGACATTCATATCTTATTACTGATTTTAATAAGAAACTTCTTAATTTTTGTAATCAAATGTTTATGTTACATTTTTACAGATAAGCTTTATCTAAACTGATAGGCTGTTTTTCTTCCTTTAGTCTGTTTAATTGATGTATTTCCTCACCTTGAAACATCCTTGC